AGGATGCACATCCCTCGTGGGTCTTCGAAAGCGGTTACCTCCTCGTGGTTAGACCCGGGCAATGGTTTTTTACCTTCAGTATAATGTTTATCATATTTTATATGATATACATTCCATTGCAAGTAAAATCCAGCCAAAGACCGCTTACCATAAACATTATAATTGTAATTAGTTTCTTTTAACTTCCTAATTAATACCATATCTGCATTCTTTTCCTTTCCTTTGTTCCTACTATCCATTTTATTTATGGAAACTAATTACTTCATATGTTTTTTTAATAACTTTAACATTTTTACAGTTTCCCGTAAGTTCTTCGATTTACCTTCCAAAACGTTTTATGCGCCTATTGGTTTTTTATTATTATCATTTAAATTATATTTTTATTTATTAAAATTATTGTTTTGTATCACATATAATAAAATGCTTTTTACTTTCGTAACTCTAAAGGTAAAACAGTTTGGAATCACGGTGGGAAAAACAGAGTACCTACAATAAAAAAATTTTACAGCAGAAAGAAAAGAATAATTGCAGGTAATTGCAAGCTAATTGATCGTTTGTGTAAATTTAAAATCTCGCGTTTAAATTTTATTTTATTGTAACGGTAAATAGAAATTTGATAAAAGTAAATAAAGAATTCAATTGAAAAGTGCATCTGCGAATTGGACGATTTATATGTCAGGCTATTGTATCACTTGTCTGTATGATTAATATAGTTTTCTTCTTGTTACAGGTGATCATCGTTGGATTTATCATCAAACCTTCTGGATTCTTTTTTATTTGAGTGTCTTAAATTGCTTCATTTTAAAATATACGTATAAATGCATTTCTGAAGGCACACACATGTTTATACATTAAAAATTAAATATATTTATTTAAAATTTTATTACAGTAAAACTATACTATTTATACTATCAAAGAATAGTGTATTCTTTGGTAGCATTATATCGTCATCGCATTAAGTACCTACTATCGTTCAATAGTGGTCCCAGTGGTAACAAAAATGATGCTACGTAGATAAAAAAGGGGACTTGTGAGTTTCTATATACTTCACCATAAAAAAGTTGGCATAGAACCGCAATAGCAGAAAATAATGAAAAAATGAAAATATTTACCTATTGTTTATACATTATGAACGATTAACTTATTTGTTTTCACTACCCTATAGGTTTTAGGAAATCACTTTTAAATATATCCCCTGCAGGTATATCAATTTTACTTTCATTTTTTTTTAAAGTGTGCTTGCGTCTAGAATTTGTGATACGCATGCATACAACATATCTCCCATTCATAAATATTCAAAGTGTAATAATTATTTTCATCTAATTAACGATAAATAAAAAATATTTAATAAAATAAAGTTTATATATAGGAGCCGGACAAACAAAAAGTAAGCAATTGATTGAAAACAAAAAGCAATAGAAAACTTCGTTGCCTTGCTTAGAAATGAGAAAAAACGTTTTTAATTTATCAATTATTAATAACTAATTAAATAATTAATTAATAAAGTAAGCAAATGGATTTTGATTGAACAATTAATGAGAAATTAAGAGCACTTATACATTTTTTTCTGCTTTTGCGGTTTTATGCCAACTTTTTTCTGCTACTTTCCTTGTATTTGTAATCTTTCCTCTTTGAACTACTAACTAAATTTAATTCGGTAATATCGGATATGATGATGCTTGATTAGTGTAATAATCTAGAAATATCAATTAAAAATATAAATTTAAATGCTTACGTGTTATATACAATTAAAAAAAAAACAAATAAACTAATACTTTTATTCTATTAGAGATGATTTTCAATGAAAAATTAATTGTTTGATATCTTACAACTCATTTTTTCAATAAAACAAAATTCAAAGCAAGTTTCATTCGATTAAAGCACCCATAAAATGTATAGTAATTATGAAAAATGATTTCACCCGGAAAGGTACCGGAAGAAAAGGAATTGTGCGCTCGTTTCTTGACTCTCTTGGAGTTGACAGGGTAAATCTTTTGTGACAAAATTACAATATTAAGAGTAGGCATACATAATAGAAGATTTATATAATTATAGGTTTCGCGTGGATTGAATTAGTGTTTATTTTTGTAACGTTGATTTTATGTGATGTAAAATGGGATAAGTATTCGTGTACATATGCGTATATGTATACGTATACTATAGTCATGAAGGGGAGAGAACTGCGCTTGTACCACCTATTGAACATATCTATATATTATAGATAATTGTAGATATAAAAACATTGAAATAATTATACCACAATACTTTATCTCTCTATCCTACTCTGTCTTCACGTATTCTTCCTTTCTCTTCCTTTGTGACGTTCAGATTAATAGATGTGATCCTTTCTGCCAATAAGAAAAATACTTGTGATATAAGGTTAGAGATCAAGCAAGAAAGAGGTGTGGCCAGGCGCGCGCTCTAGCCAATGAAACCCAAGTGCAATCTTTTTTTTAAAACCACAATAATACTTATAATTTATTTATTCCAATGCATCTTTATTTATTTTCTTCTTTTCACCAAAATATAAATATCATAAGAAATTAAGTAAAAAGAAGAATAAAATTGGATGATTCTTTGGTGAAACTTGTTTTAAATTTTATTTTTCCTCGATTACTGCTTTTCAATACAATTTGTAAAAATAGCATACTATACCAAAATTGCTATACTGTTACTTTTTACACATTTGTCTATTTATATATTTATATATCCATATTCCACGTAGTGGCAGTAAGTATTCTTTATAATCTATGTTTTGAAGGATTCATTGCATTTCTCAAATTCATAAGAAAGACAAATAATTGCAAAAAAGAAAGCACAAATCTAAATGGGAACCAATTTCTTACAGACAATGTGCACAACAAAAATATGATATATGAATGATGGCAAATGTGTGTGCGTGTTGTGGAAAAATTATATTATTACTGGAAAATAAAGTATTTACACGATATATACTTTATATTGATTGTTTTGCATCGACGGGCCTTTTATATATTTAATTGTAAAGAAAAATTAATTCATTTAATTATCCTCTCAACTTATAGTGAATGAAAATGTGACAATGCGAAGAGAGAGAAGGAGAGAGAGAGAGAGAAATAGAAAGAAAGAAACAAATAGAGAGAAAAAGAGAAAGAGTCGATAAAAAATAATTAATGTGTATATATACATATATATATATATATATATATATATGCATGTTAGTGTCAAAGATAATTAAAATTTATGAGATCAAATGTATCTTTTTATATCATTCTTCACACCATTTTATCTTATATAAATTGTATATTTTACAGTTTAGTTAGTTTTAAAAATGTCGTAACATTTTTTAACATGATTTAATATAACTTTTCAATCCCTAATATGAGAATCAAATGAAGTTTTCAATTAGAACCAAAGAGATCATTTGTAATATATAGCTCTATCAAAGTGAAAAATAACGTTCTATGATTTTCTCTACATCGTAGTAGCGTTAATTCCTCACGTAAGAATAAAATACTGTATCTATATATATATATATGGCCCGCCGAGACAATAATTTTTCCATTTGAGCCATATTATGATATACTATATATGGGTTGCGTTAAAACTTTTTACATTATTTATATTGAATTTTACAGATGCTCATACACATCGATGTATCCTATCATTTTTATAAATTTTTTTGATCCTGCTTTTGTAATAATAAATAGATTTCCAATAAGAAATAAATTGTATATCATATGCTTATCAATCGATAAGGACATCACCAAATTGTGGCAGTCTTTTTCAATGGGATAACTTATCAATTAATTTGGAGAAAAAAATTCTGTTATTTTAATGTAGTATCTCCCTCGTTTGATGAAAATACGTACGTATCTATGTGACCGATGTTTCTTTTTTTTTATATATATACAGAGTATCCTGTATAATTGATGATACAAGCGACCAATAATGATTCTACATGAAAAACTAAATGGAGACTGTAGAATAAAATTTGTTCATGTAAATGATTACTTTTGTTTAATAAAATATTCTCGAGAAAAATAAATTTCGACGAATTTCACTATCTTATTCTCGGATATTTCGAAGAACATTTTTCTTTTTTTTTAATATGTTCACAAACACATTGTCAGTATGATAATTATCAAACGAGACTTTTAGTTTCCCCAGGGTTGCATCAAATTATCAAACTTATTTTTCTCAGAAACAAACATTTATATGAACAAATTTGATTGTATATTTTTGACTATAGTTTTTTGCTTAAAATCATCACGTTTGCTTGTACCCTCAGTTATAGGATACCCTGTACATAAATATATATTTTTATATGTATATTTTTTATACATGAGTATCATTTGCACGTAAGATTGAAGAAAAAATTTGTCATAAACTCATTTAGTAGAGAAACTATCACCGCAAAAACATATTGCTCTCTGACAATTGACTACATATTAGTACGTGTACCCAAAATAATAAACGCACCTAATAAATTCCTTCGCAGAGGATTCGTATATACAACTAATATTGTACTATAATTGCGCAAAATAAAATTAACTTGGGCATATCTACAAAATGCAAAGCGCCTGTGCAGTTAGCTCTTTCATGAGCACCTTCAGAGAAATGTACACATTATTATTACTCTTATTCTCCTTCCTCTCTATTTCCTTTTCTTTTCTTCTTTTTCTTCTTCTTCTTTTCCTCCTTCTTCTTCTCCTTCTTCTTCTCCTTCTTCTTCTCCTTCTTCTTTCAACTGCACTGTGATATTTTCTACAATATAGGCACCCGTGTACATCCATTGAAATTTGTTTTTTCTCTCTTTTTTTTTTCTTCTTGTTTTTACATACAAATCAGGTACACACTCTGAATTTTTTCAATCGATTATGATGCAAAGCACAATTCTCTCTCTTTTTTTGTGTTTCTTTAGGTTTTTGCTTTTTCAAATAGAACCTGCACTAAATCCCAAACAGGAAACAAATAATTAAATTAACATCGATCGAAAGAATATTCATCATTATTCATACTTTTGTAAATGTTTCTTTAATAAAAAACGTAACAGCTAGTTGGTTGTTTTTTTTTTTTTTTATAAACACTGAAAATGTAGATTACAACATAATATACTGATAACAATTCCATCGTATTGGTGGAGCGTAGCTATATTTTGTTGTACCAACATTGAAATTATCTCTATATGATATTAACGTGTAAGATATTGTACAAATTTTCCATACATTTTGGACAATGTGCTCGTGTCATATTATGTTGTATTATTTGCAAAAATACAATTTACTATTTTAACAAAACCTGCACGCATGTATATCTCTTACACACTATTGCTACAATGTCCAAAAGTATAGGTCAAGTATTATAATGCAGCAGGCATGTATATATAGCATGACAATGTACACACATTCATTCATTTTCATATAATCATTCTATGATAACACACATCCACCATATAACAATATTCATATATGGTTAATCACATTTACTCCGTGCCATAAAGGCTATTCAAGACTAACGCGACGAGAGATGTGCTCATACACATTACTCTTTTTCATTAATGTGAATTTCGTGTTGAAAAATAAAGAACGATCTATTATATTACATTTAAAAAATTTTTTGTCAGTCATTTACAGTAGGGAAGCATGGTAGAAATAACGTCATTTTAAATGTATGCGATATCACAAGGCTGATCCGCAGCAAATGTCATCGTAAAACATACGATATGAAATGCCATACGATACAACATACAGTGTAAAACCGCACTGTCCATTCAGGTCCATTGAGACCAGCTCACACAAGACCATGTATGTAGGACGCCATATGTCGGGCGGATCATTCGAGTTCCTGCCCTTCATAGAACATCACTTCAAGTAAGACTTGTATAGCATTGTGCTTCTACACGTTTCTTTCTCTTGTTCGAGAAGAAACAATAAATCGCGAAAGTTTACCCTCTTTAAACGCGGTCTCAATGGCATTTGTCTGTTCATTCCTGTTACTGAGGTGTTTAAATTGGAATTATTTCCTGGACTATTAGCAGGTCCTCCGATATCGAGCTTAGGTTTTTTGCGAGGACCAATTGCCTGTAGAGCAGTTAAATTTGCTTCCCTTTGTCTTAATTCTTCCATTTCTGCACGTTGCATCTGAAAAATAATTAATCATTAATCATTAAGACCCGTCCAATTCTTTTCATCATTTTTGATTTTGACCCTTCATTGACAATTTCATTAATAGAAAAAAAAAAAAAAAACAAAGAAATAATTAAATTAATATAAATACCTCTTTGGCTTTGGCCTTCAGTTTAGCTTGCTCAGGATCTTCTGTTTTAGCACGACTTTTAGCAGCGCGCAGCAGTACCTCTCTTTCTTGTTCTTCGTGTCTTCTGCGTTCTACCCTATCTAGATCTTCCAGAAATTTTAACTGTGCTCTTACGTCCTGCGTCACTTCGTATCTTGGGTCCACCTAATCGTTCCATATATTATTCGATTAATAAATTAAACATTTACATATACAGTCTAATAACTAATATTAAAAATGAATTACTCGGATTACCTTTATAAGATCTATCCTGTGTTCGGCAATTAATGCCAATTTTTCAACCACATTTTTTAGCCTCTCTTGTGTAGCATGGGAAATCAATGCAGCCACTTCCTGATTAGGTTCTTCTAAGCCATAATTAGAAACTAAAGGGAAAAAAATGAATGTTTCCTTTGAAAACATTAGTATAATGAATTATATAAAAAGATAAATAATATTATATCAACCATATATTTTTAATATAAACATTGCACGTTACCTATTTGCTTAATTCTTTGTTGTAACGGTGCCATATGTAAGAATACTTCATCTTTACAAGAACGTATCTGTGTCCCTACAAACTCTGTTGAGCCAAGAATTCTTTGAGATTCTTCTGCAAGATTGACACCACCCATAGCTGCTACATCATTAATGTCATCATCTCCGCTATAATAAAAATATATGTTATATACATCTCTATATCATTTATATCAATATTGTAGTAAAAATATATTTCTTATTTCAATCCATATTATAATGGTTAAAATACTTACGTATACCCAGCTGAAGAAAAAGTCTTCTTTTCTTTTTCTTTGGCAGTGGGTTTTGGCACCAAAGAAGGCACTATGGTCCTGTTAACGATAGAAGGTGTGTTAACTGTTTTGGCTTGTGCAGTAGTTGTTACTGTTTTAACAACAGTCGTCGTAATTGGTGCCTTTTGAACGACGGGTGGTGTAGGACGTATATTAGTAACAGCTACTGTTGATTTAACAGCATAAGAAGCTGGGCTGCGTACAACAGTTGGCATAGGACGCATCTAAGAAATAATTAATATTTACGTAAATTTCAAGATATATTTTCGTAAGATATATATATTGAACAAACAAGATATATTTTCGTAAGATATATATATTGAACAAGCACCCTTACCACCCTTTGTTGTACTGGTTGGGTAGGTCGAGGTACTGTCGTTGTTGCTGTAGGTAATGGCGCCATTACTTTCACTTGTGTAGCTGGTGTTGTTGCAACAGGAATTGTAGGAGCAATTGCTGCTGTTGGTCTTATTTGATTTTGTTGCTAAACATTACAAAACGAATAGCTAAAGTATTTACAATATAATGATATTTGAATACAGCTAACGGGTTAAGCAAAAAAATATTTACCTGCGTTACTACTGGTGGTGTTGTAGATGCTATAGTAAACACAACACTAGCTGGAGGAGGTTTTATTCCATCAATGACTAATTCATTCATCACAAGAGATTGACGTAGAAGTGGTAAACTCCTTCTGAGAAAGCCAATTAGGCATGGCTGTGGAGACGCATTCAATAATTTTTCAAGTCTATCACAAAATTCTTCAGGCTCAACTTTAGTGTCAATTAATTCTTGTATCAAAGTCCGAACATTTCGTTCCACTGATTTAGGCTCACGACTAGACAATTCTAATAAATTTGCTAAAAATTTACGGCACTTTTCTTTGGTATTATCTAAAGTTTGACGCTAAAAATAAAAAGGAAAAAAACAGATAATATAAATATATACAAATATTACAGAGTATAATTTTAATACGCATAAGTTTTTCTAAGATCATTTCTATAAATTTGTTTATCGCATCTTATTCTACTTAAGATCTATCATATTTGTCTATATCATTATGATAACTTAGATATTCTTCAAAGAGATTTAATAAGACAATTTAATATAAAAATAAACTCACCTGTGCCGGCGTCTGAACTGCTTGAACTGTAGTAGCAGTTGGAATAGCTGTTGTAGTAGCGGCGGTTGTAAGAGTAGGAGGTGTTACAATTGTTGTAGTGATGGTAGCTGCTACCGTCTGCTTTAATAAACAAGAACAATATTAGTATAACTATAATAAACAAAAGTGATAGTTTCGTATTATTTTATATAGTATACACATAGAAATATTTATTTAAAAAATAGCATAAGTAGATAAATCTAAAAAAATAAATTTACTTTTAGCGTATTGCATTTTCTTTTAATTAAATAACTAATAAAATTATAAGTGTATACATGCACAAACAAAATTTATACTTGAGATAAATCTAAATCGAATATTCCCTTGTATTAAACAGTTAAAATCATTTATCATAATAATGTTGATGTATAATCCTAGACGCACTTGTACCTTATATAGACTCGCTTATTGTCAATTCTCTCTTTTAATGCATTTTAATATCTTATTAAAAGTAAAAGATTAGCAGAAGTAATGTACTATATTTGACAAATGTATTTGAATTTAGCATTTCATAATAATTAATTCTAATAATTACGTTTAACAAGCAAAATTAATGACTTGAAATATTGTAATAAAAGGCAAATATGATATGTAATAATAATATTATATCGATTAACATATTACATCGATCTAAAAAATGAAGTTGCTATCAAAATACTTTCCGCAATAAATCAAATTATTTGGACAATATATTTATCTATTTACTTTTTAAATAGATCTGTACAAAATCTAAATATATAGCTATTTACAATTAAATTCATATTTCCAACATTCCTATTAAATACGCTAAAAATGTATATATATATATTACCACATAAAATACATAAATATATTATAAAAATTACCAAACTCACTACTACTAACAAACAGATATAAACTACTCTAAACAAAGAACAGCATTCCAACAGGTAAATGAACAACAAAATTTTATCACATTGATAGATGATATATCTTGTATCAATGATACTAAAGAAAAAGAAAAGAATAAAAAAAGAAAAGAAAAAGTAAATAATAATTTACTATAGAAGATCTAGAAATATAGAAAAATAGCATATTTAAAAATACAAGCATATCCAAATAATAAAAAGACTATTATAATTTGGTAACGATCAACGACTAAATAGAATATCCATAATACAAAGTAATTTCAAACTTTAAATAAATGGAACGCAGTCAAATCTAATAATATTGAAATAAAATACATGGTCTACTATAGAACACCATTCCAACAAACTAAAATCACAAACCAATGAGTTTCTACAACTACTACATCGAGTCTTATAGCAGGTATAAGAGAGCGTCACCTGAACGGGTTTTCTTAAGGTGGCGAGTGGTGGACCAGTGAACTGTGTGTTCAGCCTACTTACAGCTGGCACAGAGGCTAGACGATAGGTAGTGCCAGGGGATGGAGCTGCAACCACTGCATTTCCTGTGATACTATTTGGAGTAACAGCAGTACCGGATGGTGTTCCTGCTGTTGGTGCTGGTCCTACTCTTAATAACTGATACTGACCATTTTCTGTTTTTAATAATAAATGGCCTTGAGTTCCAGGTTGGAGACCATGCAGTGCTTGCAATGTAATCTGTAAATAAAAACAATAAACAATATATACACACATATATACAATGCAAATATATACATATATCTATATATAGAGATTAGAATGAATTTTATTATATATAAATCACTTAGAAATGTAATGGTAATTACTTACAGATAACATTTTATAAAGTTTGTGTATGCTACTTACTAAAAAAACAAGACACATATATTGAAACTTTATAAATTACTTATGAAAAGATTAAATGTGATTAAACGTTATAAGATAGTTAGAAATTAATCAATGTAATGCATTAAGAAATGATTTTCAACAATGTAGTGGTACTTAAAGTATTTTTCTCTTACCCCTTGAGCTCCAGGTTTTGCTCCAACCATGTGTGGACCAATAACCACTCTTGGTGCAACTTGCTTTCCTGCTTGTTGAGCTGCTACTGGTGTTCCTGGTCTCATTGCATTAACATTGAGAATTTGCACATTGCTGGGTACTATTGTTGGTGTTACAGCTTTACCTTGCAATGCCGTACTAACGACACTGCTAGTCACAGAGACCGGAACAGACATTGGGACGGAAACCATTCCACCGGGTGCTACACTAGTCTTTATCACTAAAGCAGTGCCTGTCTGCTTGTTTACTCCAGTCACTGCCTGATTACCAGTTTGACTGATAGTACCAACGTTCGAGACAGCGTTGGATGTTGTCTGTAGCACTGCTTGTGAGGTTATGCCCAATGTACCATTAGCCAATTGCCCAACAGTTTGTGTAGGGAAAGGAAGCTTGTTATTAGCCGTTGCTACTCCCGTTGTAGCAATAACTTGTCCGATCGTAGGATATATTATCTTAACAGATTCTTGTCCTGGTGCTACCGCGTTCGAGGTTACTACATTCACTGGTAGTAAAGTACTCGTGGTGATCGATTTTGTAACTTCTTGAGTCAAAAGATTGTTCACAAGGGTGGCACCGCCACCGTTGGAAACCCCATGTTTCTGTGGTTGTATCGATGCAGTAATGGTGCCCCCGTTGGAAATATTGCTATTCACCTGATGATTCTGTTGACTAGCCGTCGCAGAACTTGCTTGATGGCCAGAAACGGTTGGCGTCGATGTTACAAGCTGTGTTTCGAGGGAGCCTACTATTGCGTTCACAGCAGATTCGTCAATGTCCGTACTCAGAGCTTCCTCCAGAAACTTAGCAGACGCCATTTTCTTCCAAGCTCCAACTGTAAACTGAACTACGCATGCGTCTGTCGTAAATTCTTCCCATAGTGCATTGTCTCCCCCACCCTAGCGTGGTTGAAAATTTTACACGACGTGTCCTCGTTTGTCGTCGGCTTAAAACGCACGCTTTGTTCCTAGACTAGTCGTCATTACGAATAACGGTATTCGTTTACAGTTTTTAGTGTAACATTCGTGCGCTGATTATTTCTCTATGATTTTTCATATTTATTTTTCTTTATTATTAATCTACCTTGTGTATTACGATTATTCGATGCACGCCGTGAAAACACGTCAACCCCGCCAAAATGGCGATTTTTTTACTCACTGCACGCACTAGTTACTTTATTTGATTTATTCAATAATATTTCCTATACTTTCATATAATTCAAATAAACGTTCATAATAATTATTATTTCTTTTTATTATTATAGATCTCTCTCTAATTGACTGTATGTGAATTTATTTAACAAAAAAATGTAAATGTATAATATACATATATATTTATATATGATATGGACATGTATGTATGTGTGACTCATTCACAAAAGTGATACGTTATTTGATTTATATTAGATTAAATTTTTTGGTTTTTAATAATATATATACAGATATAACATAATACAATATATTGTATATTTGTGTGTGAGATTTATTCCATATAATTAAAAAAAAAAGAATTTTTTTATTACAGGAATAAAGAAAAACAATAATGTGATATAATCAACAAATATAAAAAGTGATCATAATGATAATGAATGGTAGTTTCATAAGTGAAATATCATGTAACATCTGTAATGTTATTAAATACTCAATGCTATACACAAATTCTACTTGTTCTTTTTATGTATATCATATTTCAAACATTCTACTTTTTTCCTACAACAATAATTATAATTATAAGTATTTTTGTTAAATATATCTCAATCATAAACGAAATTTGATGGCTAAAAGATTATATAAATAACTAGAATAGTATAATAAATATCCAATTATATAAAAAAAAAGTTACTTTTTAAATATATTCATGTAACTTTTATAGATAATAATTTAAATTGTGTAAAACTTAGAATGTTATATGCAAAGAATAAGAACAAGTTGTTAAGATAAAAAAATAGCAAAAATTAAATTCTATACATAAAATATAACAATTCAATTTCAGCATCCAAATCATAGAATTTAGAATGTTTACAATTGTATTCTTATAGAATTTTATTTAAAAAAATTAGAGAAAATAATAAATTTTTTCATTTCATAATTTCTACTTACATATATATTGTAAAACAACAACAAAATACTTTAACTGATAATAATTATTGTTAAAGCATAACCTCTGATGGCACATGAATAATCTGAGTTCTAAAATTAATTTCTCATATCTTATATATAAGTTCACATTATATTATTAATCATAATCTTTATACACGATTCTTATTTAATTATTATTTTTGTTATTGTTAATTTATTTTAAAAGAATATTTATTTAACTTTAAATAGTTCAAATAACTTCGAATGTATTTTAACCTATGACTAGAGTATAGAAATACTTCAACCAATCATAACGAAGAGTTGAATACGCGTAAAAGAGAACGTTCAATCAGCGAGCAGAACATTTCTACCAATCAGATGATCAGTTCGTTAAAGGTACGTTTTCATTAATCGTTGCATACTTCTGTGATATGTGAAATGTAAACTCGCTCTAATTGTCCAATTATGTTCACCGTAGACACACACCACACACACACATAATAATATACAATATATAATATAATATATATAATAATAATAATATATATATATATATAATAATAATATATATTTTTTATATGATTATATATCAGATGACTATAGCATTGACTTATCTTTAAATTACGTATATAGGTCATTATATTTAAATCTTTTAAGCTATTCTTTTACATAATAATAAACATATTTATATACAAAAAAATCAATAATATTTAAGCTACCTTAAATATGTTTCTTATATTACTCTCTTATCAATATCGATTTATATCCAAAACTTTTCTTTTTTGATAACAATGATGTCATATATATATATCGCATGATAACAAAAGTATATAAATGTTGAAGACATTGGTTATACGAAGAAATTAATTTATTAAATCGTTTAATCATCAAAACAAAGAGATGAGACCTACGATTAGTCCAGTTCAATTATTATTTATTGTCCTTTCGACAATCTTCGTATATGCATATTCTGCAGGTAAGTTAGAAAATTATATATTTTTTTTCATGTTATTATTATTTTATGATACAGTAAAATATATATTTTTAAATTATCACATTTAATGATCTCCCATTCAATGAATGCATGCTAAATTTGATTTCGCAACCATATAAAAACGCGCAAATACAGTCAAGTATTGAAATAGATAGGTAACCACTTAGTACATATAAGATGGTAGAAAATGAAAGGTGGAAAAAATCTTTAAATACTTGTATTAAATATAATTTTTTAGGATCGAGCATCAAACAAATACAAGCGTCGACCAATTTCTAAAATAAGGTATCAATTATTTATAATATTAAAAACTTAGATAATACGGACGAACAATGAATGATTTTTAATTATATTTTATAATTATCATATAATCTTACACACATAATAAGATTTGCATGCGATCTTCTTCTTCTCCTCTTCTTATTTTTTTTTTTTTTTCAAATACAAAGATACGTGCATACGTTCTACATTTGAAAACGTAAATTATCCCGCGCAATCGATATCGAAAGTAATAGAGGGAAAATGGAAAGAGTGAAAAAGAAGGAGAGACAGAAAAAGCAGAAAAAGATAGCAATATTGATAATAAAGAGAGAAGAATTTTTCAGTATTCTCTTTGCGTATCCTTAACCAGTTTTTTCCTGTCTTTCTCTCTCTCTCTCTAGGTTTTTTGTTTCACTCTTAGTTGTCTCTTGATTTGGATTCGACATTTTCGAATACGACCTTCGTTAAAAATCGTGCCGTCATCAATGACGCTGATGACACGACGACGACAAGGAGGAGAACAGTATCGAAAGGTTTTATTAACAAAACGAGTGTATCGATTTATTATCGCTAGCTTTAAAGTAAAGAAAGTTGCATGGAGATTAGTTTGTCGTATATAATAGGTATGATCGAGATCGCAATAACAGGTGTTTGTTTCTATAATTGCAAGTACGCTTAAGTGCAACGACGCCATTGAAGAAATCGTTTCAAGTGGAAGTGAAAGAGGAAAAAGAAAATCGAGGAAGATCTGTTGTTATATACATATTAATAACGAGTAAAATACAACGACGTTTTATTCTATCGATTAGGAGTGGTGGCCACGTTAGATGAAAATGATGATTTGCGAGAGGTAATAATCGATCAATCGATTTTTATTATTTCTCGATGTATGTATGTATGTGTTTATATGTAAGCGGGTGATAATAACTTATTTTCAAAAGATATTTCGTCAAATATATCTACATATTTCATTTCATTTCCTATCTAATTAATAGTTTCAAACTCGTGACCATTTGATAAATATTAACTTCGCGTAGTAGAGAAAGATAAAGAAGAGAGAATAGAAAAATTATTCAGTTTTGTATTTGTAATTTCAAGTAGATATGAATCATCATGGAATTGATGAACGTTGATAAAAATATATATTTAACTAGTGACAATATGCATTAATAATATTGTCAATATATTAATTATTTGTTGGAATTAAATATCAGCGAGACTTAATGACGACAATTACGAATTTTTTAACGATGTTATACTTCATTTAAAAAATCAAATAGTTATGGTAAATATATTGTATAGGTCATTAAATATATTCAGTATATAATCGATATGTCTTACTATTGTGCTTATTTATCTTGTATAAAACTTACGAATAATCCGTGGTGGGGAGAAAAAAAAACGAGAGAAGACGACTCTACTTGGTACGATCGTACAGTTTCCAATTAAAACTATGGTCGCGTCTATTTTAACAGTTACATAAGTTTCTGATACATGTGTAGATATATTTATTATACAAGTATAACAAATTGATTGATTTTTTTTTTCTTTTTTTCGATATAAAGTATTAGCAATTTTTAATGTAAATCTTTGAAATAGAAAACGGGTATGGTGACACTGATCCAATGTCAACAAACAGCAGACAATAATCTACATGAAAAAGAACAAGATTATCGAACAGTCAACGAATTGTCACAAGTCGATTCGTCGCATAATTCGCCTAATTGTCGTGTTAAATTCGAACAATTACAATTATCTACAGACAATAATAATACAGTGATAACAGCAGCCAATTCTAATGGTGTTATTAACAGTACTCCTACGCAGTGCAGTGACATAGATAATAAAAAAAATATAGTTGATCGTTGTGCAAATAATGGGAGCGTTGAAGAGGAAGAAGAAGAAGATGATGATGATGATGAAGACGAAAATGATACTGATTTTGAGGAAGAAGAATGGACGACAGATTTACCAATGTCCACTGTTGTGCAACATCAACAACAGATTATGGTGCCAAACGGTAAAGTGGTCTTACCGAATGCTGATCCTTCAACTTTCGGTGATATATGCGTGAAAAATTCAACGAACGTTCATTTGGGTAACAAAACTTTGTACAAGGGTCCGGTGACGATAAGACAGTTCATTTATTCGAACCCACCTTCGGTGGAGAATAAAGAAACAAATGAATGTGACGGACCACGTACATCGGACGCTAACGCATCCGATTTATCATTAGGTAAAGCAGGAAATGGTCTTAGCAGGCCTATTTTATCACAAAAGAATGATTATGAGAGAGGTAATTGTTTTATGATAATAATCATTTATCTAGATTATTTGTTTCTTTTTTTTTTCATTCATTCATTCACGTTCATTAGTACGGACTTGCCAAATTTCTTTCTCTACAGTGTTGCAGAATGTGCTGCGTAAATATGGCGCGTCTGACATGTCGCGACGAGAAAAACGTTTGTTTCGATAATTGAGGATAAAAGGAAAAAACTTTCGCTTTATTATTATTCCATTGACGCATGCATACATCCAGACAGAAAGAGAGAGAGAGAGAGAAAATGTTCACTTTAATCGTCTTTGTTTATGGCTAGCTTTCTCATTCTTTTACATGTAATTTTACCTATTTGCAATTTACTCATTCGAGAAACTGTTAGATCTTGAAAATATAAAACTATCAAATTAGAAAGAGGAAATTATAATTATCTATGACGTAGATATTGTCATGGTTGGATAGATTAGGCTTCTAATCGTAGAAATTGTTCTTTTTTTTTTTTTCTTTTCCAAAATTATGAACTTGAACATTAGGCACGTGTGTTTATTCGGAATAAATCGAACATCAAAAATGGCCTGAATTATGATAAAGGTCAGACATAGATTACAGATGTGTACATGATTTTTACATTAAATAGTTATTTTTCTTATTATTCTAATTAATAATCATCAAATTTATTGGTATCATCAATAATTTCGTTTACTTATCACTTGTATGAAAAGACTATAAATACTTCAATCAGAATATTTATTAGCTCGATGTAATCTTTATATATGTAGTTCTTTTTTATTTTTTTTTTTTATTTTTTATCTTTTCAAAGAAGACGTTATCTTTCTAACGAAAAAAAAGAAAACATCGCAGTGATAAGGGCCACGAGAAGGAATAACCCCCCCCACCCCTAAAAAAATAATAATAATAATAATAGAATAACATCCAATCAGTTACTCTTCGAGATTATTTTTATATCGTACTTAACATTCGATATTAAGTAGCCTTAAGTGGATTTATTTAAATCGTATGCGTCACAAATTTGTTCCTTGTGATTTAATAATTTTTTATCTTCCACTTTTTCCAAGATATTTCATTTTACAACAACAATACGTACATTAATATATGAAATGTATAATCAAATTTGTTATCAATCTTTGTACAAGTTTTAAAATATTATCTTGATCCAATTTCCGGTAGACAATGGAACACACGCGGTCCTATCAAAATCAATATATAATAGAAGATTAGAATGGAACTTAAGAAAGTCGAAAAGCGAAAGCCGTTTCAGTAACGATAATAATAGAACGCGCGTTCTTACATTTTCATTTTATTTATTTATTTATTAAATATTCAATAATGTTATGTTTTTTCACCGCCATATTTAATTTATTTGATTATTTCTGGAATAAATATCATTTCGTAAAGTACAGTAGATGTTGCTCCTGTGATTCTTATTGTACTTCCATAGAGATAAATCAACCGATTCAGTTTTACAGGGAACGCCTTAATTGTTTAGAAAATGGTAAATTTATCAATTTTTCAATCTCTTTCATTTTTCTTCCATTGTACAAAATTTATAGACGTGGCTAATCAGATAATAATATTTGCAAATCTTAAAGTTCTTTTTTTAACTAACTGTATCATCAATTCTAACGGGATAGGATTAACTCGATAAAAGTAAACATACTTTTAAATTATCATAGAACCGATAAAAATAGATAGATCTATATATATATATATATATATATACATTTATATTTTTTTTTTAAATAAAATTTGTCTTCTACGAATAACTTAACATTCCTGGATTTTATACAATTATAAATTGAAATGGAATATATATATTCGATCGTATCATTCGTATTGTAGTATTGATCACAAAACTTTGATTTCGTTTATAAAATATTTGATTTGTATAAAAAGTATTTTTCTTACTCTCTTTCTCTCGTTATTATTTAAATTATTTTTAATTTTATTGATCTTGCAACAGTAACGAAAAAAATCGTCATGTATGATGTTATCTTTTTATTCATAATAATTAACTATTAATGCACATTCAAATAACATTTTCATGATGTTTCTCACATATATATATATATTGATCGATGAAAATATGAAAATAAAATAATTCTGATCTTTTGCATTGTTATCGTCGTTTCTATGTTCTTTTTTTTTAATTAATCACTATTTTATAGTAAAAAACTGGCTATGGACGTGGCGATGCGCGGCACTTTTGTGTACAATAGCGTTAATAGTTGTGACCACAATCGTCGTGGCTTCTGTACTTCTCACACACAGACACGATGTCCCACCAGCTCTGGTTTTCCCGGAAATACCAGATTCTTCTCTCGAGGGTAATATCAATGTTCGTAATTTGAAACAAAATCAAAATCATTTCTCCTTTGATATATTTTCTTTCTGAGCATAATCAATAAACGGTGTCGTTCTTTTTCTAATATTTTCGTTAAAGATATTTATATAAATAGATAAATAACTATAAGAGATATAGAGAGAAATACAAGATCCTTCATTCTGATATTATCTTATAAAAGGAATTTATATTATATAAAATAAATAAAAAAGAAATTATTTCAATATCTAATTATAGAATGAAATATATAAATAATCCCTCAATACTGTGGTATAAACAATATCCCACTATGACATTTAAATATTAACGAGGGACACTTCAAATTCTACCATGCTTCAAAGAGATAAATGTATAATTGAAAAGTAAATTATTTTACTGCATCCAACGCATGATTAACAAAACCGACTTACCTATATAAAAATAAGAAAATTGTATTATCCATATAAATAAATAAATAAAAATTCATTTCAGGTGTCATAGTAAGTAACGTGAGATTCGTTCAGAGAAACGAATGGGGAGCACAGCCACCAGTAAATCCCTTGGGAAAATTGAAACTACCTGTCCCTTACGTTATCATCAGCCATACGGCCACTGAGTTTTGTACGACACAATCGGAATGTACTCTTCACGTGAGATTCGCACAAACGTTTCACATCGAATCTAGAAAGTGGTCGGACATTGGATACAATTTTCTCGTTGGTGGTGATGGTCTTGCTTACGTTGGACGTAGTTGGGATTACATAGGTGCACATGCTTTTGGTTATAATAATAAAAGCATAGGAATATCATTCATTGGTACGTTTAACTCTGTATTACCGCCGAAGGTTCAGCTACATGCCGCAGAAAAAATTATTGAATTAGGCGTTAAAGCTGGAAAAATCGCGAAGGATTATAAATTACTTGGCCACCGGCAAGTATCGAAAACATTAAGTCCTGGTGATGCACTTTACAGCAAAATAAAAACATGGCCTCATTGGGTACCTTTTCCTTAATACATCTTTTTATCATCTTAATGTAGAACTCTTTTCTTTTCTCTTTCTTCAGAGTATCATTCCAATAAATTTATCTGAATACTCTACTAACTTTTTCCTTCTGTTCTTGTTTTATGTTTCTCTCCAAGTTTTTAAACACTGAACGAACAAACGTATTCATTCTCAGTGGTTTCTAATTGTTAACTGGACATTCTGATTTTCTTTTTCTTTTGCGTGTATTACATTCTGTATATGTGTGTGCGTGTATGCCTGTTTGTAAATTTTTATGATTGCATGTGTATTATTTTAAAACGTAGGCTTTTTCATAGGGGATTATCTTTTTTTGGGTATTTTACATTTTATCTGATGAGCTCGAATATCCTTCGTTCTATTTTGATTTTATGCACGAATGGAAGCATGCAACGACTTAATGAATGCATTATACTATTTATACGTAAATTTTACATCACAAATATTGTACAGCGATTATAAGGAAAAAAAATAAAAAGAAAATGTAAAATAAATGTAATTCATTGAAAAAGAAAATATTCACATTTATACATAAACTCTTTGTATATTATTTCGATGTTGGCTCGTAACGTAAATATGACAAACATTCCTAATTTCTTATTTCCTTGTAAACTTTGTTCTCATAATCAATTTATTAATATTCATAAATCAACACATATATATATATATATATATATATATATACACACACATATACATATATATATATGTATATGTGTGTGTATATATGTCTAAAAGATTACATGAATATTATTTTAAGGCAACATAAAACGACATAATTATAATAATCCATGAACCCAGCATGGACTTTTATTCTGAATAGTTCCTAAATTACTTATTCTTTATACGTATGTATGTATGTATGTATGTATGTATGCATATAAATAAATAAATATATATACATACAAACATACATATAAAAATTCTCAAAATCAATACAAAGTTAAATTCGCCTTTGGTGCTAATAATATAAGCAGTGATTCGATTAAATAATATAAGTTACGTATAAGGAATAACTTTGATCACTTGGAACTACAAAATAGATATTTGTAATTCTTAATAATATAAAGAAAAATGACAAGCAGTTGTATATAAGATATGGAAATATGCGACTGCCTAATATAACATTAGATGTAATATTTTAGTAATAGCATTTAAACAACACATTTAAATATATTTCTATGCCAATTATTGTCGGTTTCCCAGAGTTATCGAATGGCATCATTTATAGATATATTATACTTTATTTCAAACCTAAAATCCTCTCTGCAACTCCAAGGTAATAAACGGTTTGTGCAATTCCAAATAATGGAGCTATTACTATCATCCTGCATGCACCTCCTTTAAAGAACGCGGTTGGTCCTTCGTTGACAAGGGTTTTTCTATAAAATAACAAAAATATGAAATTGTTGATATTAATATAAAAAGAAAATAATTTAAAAGTATTCTCACTTAATGCAATCTAATACTCCATCATATGAAGGTTCACCAGGTGCCTTCTTAATAGCTTGTAATCTTGTTTTAATAACATCAAAAGGATTAACTAATAATGCAGCTGTGGAACCAGCAGCACATCCAGCAAGGAATGAACACCAAAATACAGCTAGAAAAGATAAAGCACAATACATTAGTCACATATTTTAAATATAAATGGCGGCAAAGTGTATAAGGCGCCCCCATAAGTTTATCGTAGAAACTTTAACCTCGAATTTAGCTACCATAGCGTCATCTTTTCTCTCTCATTGTCGAGTCATCATTGGCGATATGTTGAGAAGTTTCGTCAAAGCATAGATTTGTGCGTGTAGTTTCAAGTTAACCGTAAATAATTATTAAACTTTGCTATAAATAAGGTAACGAAATAAAGATCATATTGTAAAAATCATTTCTACGACTGAAATAATTCAAAATGAGTCGTAGAAGAGTACACGAGGAAGACGATGGATATGAACGTGTCTATAAAAAGCGAAGACGTGTTTCAGAAAATCAAGAAATCGAAGATCGTTTAGAATCTTTAATTCTAAGAGTAGGCGAAAAATCAACATCTTCTTTAGAAAGTAATTTAGAAGGTCTTGCTTCGGTTTTGGAAGCTGACCTTGGATTATTTCGTAGTAAGATACTACGAATTTTAACAGATTGTGCTATTAAAATGCCAGAAAAATGTACCATTTATACAACCCTAGTTGGCTTACTAAATGCAAAAAATTTCAATTTTGGGGGTGAATTTGTTGATTACATGGTAAAGAATTTCAAAGATGCTTTAAAAGCATGCAAATGGAACGTAGCAAGATATTCGCTCAGGTTCCTTGCAGATTTAGTTAACTGTCACGTTCTATCGTGTGGTTCATTAATGCAGCTATTTGATAACATGTTAGATGCTGCAAATGAAGATAGTGTACCACAAGTAAGACGCGATTGGTACGTTTTTGCTGTTTTATCAACATTACCATGGGTCGGAAGAGAACTCTACGAGAAAAAAGAACAAGAATTGGATCATTTAATGGTAACCATTGAAATATTTTTAAACAAACGTAGCAAGAAACATCAGCCAGCTTTAAGAGTTTGGTCAAGCGACACACCTCATCCACAAGAAGAATATTTGGATTGCTTATGGGCACAAGTTAGAAAACTTAGGCAAGACAATTGGGCAGAGAAACATATTCCCAGACCATATCTTGCTTTTGACTCTATTTTGTGTGAAGCGTTACAACACAATTTGCCTGCAATAATACCCCCTCCACATCATGAAAATTGTACCTATCCATTGCCTACTGCTGTCTTTCGTATGTTTGATTATACAGATTGTCCCGCAGAAGGATCTCTATTACCTGGTAGCCATGCCATTGAAAGATTTCTCATAGAGGAACATTTGCGCCAGATTATTAACAATTACTATTTTGAAAGGAAAGACTGTGCTGCACAATTATTGAACTTTCCATATAAAGCCAAAATTCCTTTGGATTATTGTATAGTTGAAGTAATATTTGGAGAATTATTTAGATTACCAACGCCTAAACACCTTGAAATTTGTTACGGATCTATTTTGATAGAACTTTGCAAACTACAGCCTTCAACAATGCCACAAGTATTGGCTCAAGCAACGGAAATTCTGTTTCGTCGTATAGACAGCATGGCAGCTACTGCTTTCGATCGTTTTGTTTGGTGGTTTTCATATCATTTGAGTAACTTTCAATTCCGATGGTCCTGGGAAGATTGGGATTCTTGTTTACAACGTGATCCAGAGCATCCAAGACCTAAATTTATTAGAGAAGTATTGCAGAAAGCCTTACGGTTATCATATTATCAGAGGATTCGTGATATGATGCCAGAATCGTATGCGGAATTAATACCTGCACTACCAGAACCTGTATATAAATATTCGTCAGAAGGAGCAAGCTCTCTACCTGGTACTGCTGCAGCTCATGAACTAGTTGTATCAATAAGACGTAAATGTACACCCGAAGAAGTTTTAAATGTTCTAAATACTTTGCCAGGACCTAAGGATCACGAAGAAACAAATAACTTCAATCCGCTGAAAATAGATGTTTTTGTTCAAACGTTACTTAATCTTGGTTCTAAAAGTTTTAGTCACAGTTTTGCAGCTATAGGAAAATTTCATTATGTCTTTAAAGTACTTGCCGAAACGGAAGAAGCTGAAATATGTATATTAAGAAATATGTATGCATTATGGAAGAATCATTATCAAATGATGGCAGTATTAACAGATAAATTTTTGAAAACTGGTATAATAGAATGCAGTGCTATCGCTAATTGGATATTTTCTAAAGAAATGGCATCAGAATTTACAAAATTGTATATATGGGAAATCTTGCATCTTACGATAAGGAAAAAAAATAAACACGTCATTAAACTAACCACAGAATTGGCAGAAGCTAGAGAAAAATTAAGAAGGGCTGAAAGTAGATCTGGTTCTTCCTCGGAGGATGATGACACTAATAAAGACCGTAATAGAGAGAAACCATCAGAAGATGTTGTAGAAAGAATGGAAGAGAAACTAGAAGCAGCACAAGCAGATCAGAAAAATTTGTTTCTCATTATATTTCAGCGATTTATAATGATTCTTTCAGAGCATTTAGTTAGATGTGATACAGATAATATTGATTACAATACTCATTGGTATAAATGGACTATAGGACGACTACAACAAGTGTTCTTGACCCATCACGAACAAGTACAGAAATATTCATCAACTTTAGAAACATTATTATTTACTCCAGATTTGGATCCTCATATTTTAGATGTATTTCATCAGTTTGTATCTTTAAGAGCATAATTCTAATATAAAACATATAATTGTAATTATATTAAAAAAAAATAATTTAAGTGGCTTAAATTTGTAAATCACGATTACCATGATATGGTGAAAGATCCTATTTACATTCATAATTATATTGTAACTGTACAATACGATGTAATTGTACAGTAATATAAGAAAATTTTGCTTTATCACTCCTAATTATAATATCAATGACAGAAAAAATAACAAGGCAAATATATTGCTTAAATATAATACATTTATGTACAAGTATTTATAAGTATGGGAACTAGTATTAGCAAGAATAAAATATTCTTCGATTGATACATAACTATGGGGATTCGTATAATATTTTGTGAATTTGACTAAATTAATGAGATACCAAACGTATACATGTTTTCTAACTAAAACTATATGTTCTATAACTATGACTATTTTATATCTAAGGTATCTTAAATACATGGCTCGATTCTGCTGTAATTTTGTAGAAAGATTTATTATCATTACTCAAAATAAATCTTAATAAAAGAATCTTAGATAACCAAACAGATATTATATAATCTTTCATTGTAACAAGCCTGTATTGTTTACGAACTCCAAAGAAATTCATTGAATCTATAATAGATAGGCAATAGAAACTAATCATATAATGAATCGAACTTATAATCTTCAAAATAATATCTATAAATTCTAAAAGAACTTCTTTTAAAATCTTATTAAATGTATTTCTGTAAAATCGACTCTTGAAAAGGATTTGTTGAAAATATATTTGATAAATATATTTTATATGAAATAAGCAGATCAATAACTTACATGATCCATCTTCTCGTTTTGGCCCAAGATCATTTAGTCTAGCAAACAAAGGAAAGTAAATAATGGAAAACGTAACATCTCTTAGTGCCGTTGCTCCAGTTCCCTGATAAAGTCCCAGTATTCCTCTTTGTTTAAGAAGATCCTTAGTTAAAGATAACGCTGATACTTTCGGTATAGTCTTTCCAGCTATAACAAAGAAGAAATATATTATAAAACAAATTTGACAAATAGTTTAGTCATATCTTTAATATTTTATATCTCAATATATTTTAAATTATTTATATATATATGGCGTATATATATATATATAATGTCAGTATTGTAATAAAATATAATTTAAAAATTTATATACATATATATGTATATACAAATATAATTTTTATAATATAATAAATAAGAAAAAAGAAATAAATAAATATATAATTAACAAATATTCAATTACTTACATTCTTTTGCAGCTGCAGCAACTCTTCCTGCATCCTGCATTTGTATTTTAAGTAATTCCATTGGTGTAGTAATAACTATTTGACAAGCTCCTGCTAATCCTCCAGCCAACATTTCACGTTGTAATGGCAGTTGTTGGCTATGGAAATTAACGAAGAAAAAAAAGAACAAATAAAAAGATAACATCTTGAAAAAATTTGTTTTGAAAAAATTTGTTTTGAAAAAATTTCCACACTAAATTAATAAATACAAATGGGGCTATAATAATTGGGTCATATGCTTTAGAAATGGTGAAACTATTCGTGTGATTAAAGATTACAATCACATCTACTTGTGGGAAATCGCACAAAATTTCTTTTTTCTTTTTAATATATGCTTTATCTGTTAACGTATGTTCTTTTCTCATAATATTGTAACTTAACAATTGCAATAAAAGTACACTGCTTGCGCAGTGATAAACTCATCTCAATGATAAACCAGTATTATACATACATTATAACAAATAACATAAATACATATTACATGTTAAAAATATTGTCAAAAACCATATTTTTGTTCTTAATATGATTAGATAGAGGAATAGGACAGATCCAGTGTTGACAATTTATTTTAATGACATTTTTTAGCGAGAATTTATAATTAATTATATTAATAATCATGTAGACAAATTTATTTACGAATAAACACGAAAGGAAAAAGAGAATATTAAAAGTTCTATAATATTTTATTGCAATCTTTTATTGTTAGTATAGGAACTCGCCAAAAAATGCTCTACGGATCTCAATTCAACCATTTGACATTTTTTACACGTACTTTTTTTGTTAGTGTATGTTGCATTTGCGCTATAGTGATTCTTCATGACTCTGCCTGTATTGTACACACATCCCTCAGTGATAAAATACTTTTTTTTACTGCCACCTCCTGATTTTCTATTTTTCTTGTCAGGCTTGTGTATCATCCATACCATACATGATATACGCTTTGTTACGGAAGAACATAATCATATAAATAATAATCTATAAAATTTTGTGTAAAAAGAAATTCGTAAATTGTTTTCTTCTTTTTTTTTTCAATGTTTCGTTTTTTCTGTTTCTTTCTTTTTTTTTGTATCAATGCAGGTGCAGTTAAAAATTTATAGTGAAATAAATTAATTGACGTGCATAATCTATTTCCTTTCTCTCTCTCTCTAATATACTTGCGTATAGGCAAATATTGTAATCAAACAATTAAGTGCGATGTTTTAATTAAATAATAATAATAATAATAAATAAGAATTATAATAAAAATAATATTTTCAAATAAAATTAAATAAATCAATTGAAAATTTGTAAAGAAAATTAAAAAAAGGGCAAAACGATGGTAAATTCGACAAATAATACAACAAAATAATTCCAACATTTAATATATATATTATAAACGTTGGACTCTCTTGTTTAAATTTGTCGATTTGTGTTGTGCCTGGTTAGAGACATCGTACCTGATAAAAATATAGTTGATACGTATTTAAACATCCACATAAACATACCCAGGACCAGTGGAGAGGTAATGTCTAAATGTGTCATTGGCAGTGAGTTTAATGGCTTTTTCCGGTGTAATCAATAAAATATTTACACCGGATCCTTTGTACATTCCAAAATATCCTTCCGCTTTATAAGTCTTCTTAAAACAATCGAACCTATATAAAAATATTTATTTATTATTAAGTTTTTCTTTCTTTTTTATTTTCTTTTTCAATTAAATTCGTCAACAATAAATTATAGATTGGAGTTAAAAAGACAATTATGTAATAAAACGTTATTGTCGTGTTAGTGATATTTTTAAAGTGACATTGAAAACTTAAACACTATTAATTAGCATACATACGAATAAATTGAGCAGAGTTCTCATTTATCCAAGTTTTAACTTACATCGAGCTATACATTCGTTCGCCATTTGGTCCAATTACTTGATTTTGTAACCGCGTTTTTACCAAATCCAAAGGAAATACTACAGATACGCCGATAATTCCGGCAATTCCTCCATTTATTATCTTTGGTAAAAGCCTAAAATAAAAACATTTTATATTGTATAAATCGATAAATGATATATATTGATTTACAACTTGTTCATCGAGTTTCTATATGTTTCAAATATACGCACCAAAAATAGAAAAACGCGCGAGATTTGAATGCAAGATATTTTATAATATCTATAATTTATTAATACGATTGTTGTATTAATACGATTATTAATTTAATAATACGTAATGCGATTCATTATTAAAATTTTTAATGCATTAAAATTGCATTAAAATCATATTAATAAATATAATACAATTTATTATTACATAAAAATATAATTTTAGTGTCAATTTATTATAACACTTAAATTAAATCTAAACGCAATTTAATTTAATAACAAATTACATTGTATTTAATAATACAATCGACCTCGTATAGCAATTTAAATAAACGATCTCGTATTTAATGGGACACAATTGAAACCAGCAAGCAGTTATTTCTTGGCAATTGTAAGACGATCGTACAATAATCCTACTTACTTAAATTGATCAGGAATTGACTTTGGTGAATCTTTCTGCGCCATTGAAAATCAGTATTTCTATTTAATATCTGTAATTCATATTTTTATTAATACCTTATTGTTTTGTTAATTATTTTAATAATTAAATAATTCATATATTTTATTTAATAATTGTAAAAATATTCATTCTTATTTTTACAATATACAAGAGACACACAAATTTACTGTTATATATATACAAGGCTTACATAATGCTCTCTTATCATTAACTATTATAAAAAAAATATAGAATAAAAGATAAAACGTTGAATTCAGATTACAGAGAAAATTTAACAAGAGAATTCCTTTTATATAATATTAATAACAATTCATATTTTTATATTTGTATTTCTCTCATCTAAATAATTATATATTCTATTTCTTAATAAAAAACAATAATTGTAACATTAAGTCTATAAAATATTTGCTATTATGCATAACCAAAAATCTCTATTTAATCATATGCAAATATAATAAAACGATAATAATAATCATTTTATAATATCAATGTATAACTTTTCTCTTCTCTTTAAAAGAATTGAGTTACATTTAAAATCGTTTTTTTTCTACTTGTTCTAAAAATACTTAGTAGACATCTACACCATTGTAGTCAATTATTATTATTATTGTTACTATCATAAACATTCACATTTATATTCAATATATATTTAGACTGAGATATATTGTTTAAAAATGTATAAATTATTTGTCAAATATATATAGAATATAAGAGAATCAGACGATTCTAATTTGAAGATTATTATAGCTTGTATTTCTCAATAGTAATAAAACGATACTGTAGACATATAGAGTGAATTGAGGCTAAATTAAATTGAGAATACAAAATTTGGGAAATGTGTCACATCAATAATAAATATGTACATACAATTAAAGCTCGTTTACACGTGTAGTGAAAGAAAGAAAGAATGACGACTTATTTTCTTCCTTTCTTTTTTTAAATAATAAAATTTATAACATAAACTTAAATTGTTATAATAACATTTACATTAAATCATTGAAATTTATTTAACGGGAAGTATATATGCAAAGATTTATAGTTATTATTTAACTATGATCATCTCTCTCAGAATAGCGAATAATATTCTTAATGAAAATGCAGCACATTTCTTCTTGAAATATCAAGATGTCAAGGAAAAAAAGAATATAACTTGATAGGTGGTGCTTACCCCACACTAAGAACAGATGATAACGATAAAACTTTTGTTTTATCACTCACAATTTAATTTATTATAAGATTACTGCACGTTCACTGACATTAAAACCCATTCGTTCAACCTTTGACAGGAGCCACTGAAGTTCTGTCGTCGTTTTAAGGTTGATCCTCAATGAAATGTCATCTGATATACAATAATGAATGATAAACTTTGGCTATAACGTTTAAGTATCCACTCACAATTGCATAACTTTCTGCATCAACTGAAATCGACTAATCAATGAAATCTTTCTATCTAATACTGGCACGTGATTGGACGACATTGTAAAAACTTTATACGAATTCAAATTCACAATACAATACCACGGTAACAATTTGAGCGCGCTTTTCAAATATATTTTACATGACATTTTGATTTTATTCTATTTATGATTTTTATAAATCATAATTACATGTATATATTTATGTATATGCTGAGATGGAAAAAAATAAATGATCAGAAGCATTTATTGTTGAAAGAATTTATGTTCACACGATGATGTAAATTCCACATTTTATTTTATGTGGAATTTAATCAAATTTTAGTATTTTCGATGCATACATCAGTTTATAGGATAATAATTTTGTTCTAAATATTCCCTATTATAAATACAGAATATTAACTACATCATAATAATAATACTAATATAACTAATACTATTTTTATATACAAATATATGGAAACATATATAAGTCAAATTAATTTACCTGATCATTTATTATGTTTTATCACATTCGCACAAAAATATCATATTATGCTAATATCAATTATAATATAAAATAAAATATTCAGTACTATTCAATTCAATTCTATGCAAATTTTCACATATTGAAATTTAATTTTCATGCATATATTTTAAGAATATACACAATCACTACCAGATGATATATTCATTTAAACGGAGAAATTTATGCATGAAATTAAATGTGTAAAATTGTTATATTTATAACAAACTAAAGTATTAATTACATGTTTTAATAGAGTATCTTTATCAACCAATAGATTTGCAGTTATAAATAAAGAAAATATTACAATTAAATTGATTCAAACTATATTATATTGTATTTTGATTCGTGATGTAATTATATTTGTATTTTTACAAATAATTGTAATGTCATGGCGTATATAAAATATTTTTCTTATGCTACAAAATTATTAACTTATTGTTAAACATATTAGAGCATGATGTCATTGCAATCCACTTATTATGATACGAATGAAATTATTGAGAAATGTAGTATTATTTTATAATAATGTTATATATACAAGAGGTAATTATACTTTAAAATTAATTGTAGGAACACTAACGTTTCATTAATTATTAATATAAATTTCCAATGTTCCATAATAGCATAATGATTAATTAGAATGGCAACTATTTATATCTTTTTTCAATTTCAAATATTTCGTTTTTTACTTTTTTTTCATTCTTTTTATGTGTTTGTTAAAATTAGAGATCTTCTATAACACATACAATTATTCTATATACGAACGCAAAACCAGTTAACAAATATCGTAGATGTATTGAGAAAAATTAATTAACTCTTTGACTATAAAAGGCACATATATACACATTCTTTATAGAGAAGGATGAATAAATGATCATAACGATTTGCAACGATAAATCATATCAACTGACTTACGAAATAAATTGATAGTTTCATGCAAGAGTATGCCATAGTCAAAGAGATCAACAAAACTTTGGAATTTCAAGTTGATACAACTCAATTGAATATTAAACACGAAAATGATATACTGATATTACTCAACACTTAAAAACATTTCACCCTTTGCGGACGAAAGAGGCATATGTGTGTTCAACGTGAACCATTTGGGTATCTAATTAACTCATATATACGTTCGGTGTATTAATGAATTTAAAAATTAAATTACTATTTAATACAAAATAATCAATAAAAAATATACTGTATGAACATAATATTTGGATATTATTTAACAAACTAAAATGATAATAGTAGCAGTAAAAGTAGACAGACCATTTTGCTACTCTGTTCACAAAGAGTTAAATTAAACTTAAGTTAAAACTTTAAAATGAGAACGCATACTTCTTAACAATTATTCTTTTATCTTATCATAAATTATGATCAAATGTGTATATATTTCAATCCTAAAATTTTTATTATTAAAATTAAAAGTAAATACAAATTTGACCACATATTTACGATGATTTGGTACAGAGACGTACAAGATTAGCTCGCTAAGCCGATTGGCTTTTATTATTAGATTTCTTTTTGTTTCTCTCTTTATCATCATTACATTTTCACAGCCACAACTCTATTGTGTTAGTCTAAAAATGATCGATTTCTATCAATGTGCCTGTAATTATGACAGTAGAGTAAGTTATATAATGAACCAAAAAATGAATCTTATGACTGTGGCTACATATTATAATTATTTATATTATAAAATAAATATGAGATCATTTTTTTCCATTTTTACTTACTCTACTGTTATAATTACCAACACAAATATTTCTTATCTGAATTGTTGGAAAAGTAAACATGCTTGACTAAGAACGATTAAACAACATTAGCGGAAGAATAATTTTTCTTCGAACTAAATATTTGCACGTCTCTGTTTCGGTGTATGTAATGTCACAAAACAGAAATATGTATATTTAGTATAAAATACATAATAAAATGTGGAAGCATATAAATTTTGAAAACGAGCACACGTTATTAAAATTAGTTAAATTAATATTTTACTATTTAAACCGAAGTAAATTAATAATTTCATAGTTCAGATTATAAACCTAACAATTTTCTCTTCCTTTTGGATTATTACTTTTAAATGCATTAAATATTTCTATAATGATATTCATATTTATATATGTGTAAGTTAAAAATCAATATTACCAAAATATAAATGTTAAATAATCTTGCAACATAATTTTTCTTTCAAAATACAAGAATATTACTCATATCACAACGTAATTTTAAAAATATATTATAGTGGAAACATTATCTATACATTATAGTTAAAATATACCTACAAATGTTCATACAAACTACCGTTTGTAACGCCCTTTTATTAATTGTAGAGCTTTTGCCATAAGAGGTGCTTTTGTCTTCTTTACCATGCTCGCTATTAATGAAACAGATAAAAATTTTTTAAATCCAAAAAGGAAAAGATGTAAAAGTATTATTATCGGATAATAATTTTAATATACAAATTTTTTTTATCATATAGTTGACTTACACGATGGTTTAACTCGATTCATTGGAGGTGGTGGTACAGATATATTAGTTGCTGCGGTAGGTCCACCGCCAACAATCAATTTTTTTTTCAAATCAGATGTAGATGTAGGAATCGAATTAGTTCCATACTTAGCTTGCTTTTTTAAAACATTCCTAGGAGGTTTAACAACATTATCAACATATGCAAGCTTAGCTGATCGTAATGGTACAGTCTTATCTATAGATTGTTTTATATTGGCAGTTAAGGTTTTCAATTTTTCTTCTCTTTCATCCAAACAACGCTATATTATAAAAATACATAAATATTGTTGTTATTATTATAATTATTATTAATATCTTATAAATAATAAAAAAGTTCATACCATGTACATCTCACGCCATGTTTCCATTTCCTGTCTTTGTTTATTTCTGAATTCTCGATTACAATGAAATTGCCATAAAGAATCCGTATCTTCAATTAGGTAAGGATTATAATGTTCTAACATATATAATTGATCTGCCGTAGCTCGTTCTAAAACTGGCTTTATTATGTCATAAGGAACACCACCAGTAAATTCAAGCGCTATAGAATAAAATCATATTTACATAGGAACTTATAACTTTATTTCAAATAAATAGGCATTTGTGAAGAAGTTATGACCGAAGGATAAAAAAAGACCCAGGTTCAAGTCCCAGTTTAGTTATTCAACGGCCTAATTTTTTCACGAATTCCACATATATAATATATAAATATGTATGTATATATTTCATATATAAATAAAAAATTAGTTAAAGTATTCAAGAGTTAATAAAAATAAAATATTACCATCAATATTCTCTATCAACACTCTTATGCAAATTTCATAAAGAGAAGGTACACTTGTATAACCAGTTTTATTCCCCGAGTATACTTTGGTCCTAAAAAATAGAACATATAATATAAAATAACTTCATTCTCTATCAACGTTCTCTATCTCACGAACATATCTAGATTTATTATTAAATTACCTTTGATTTTTAACATGAATTACGTCAGTAAGAGTCTTATCTTCCTCTTTACGATGTACAGGATTAATGTATGACAGTGGTTTATAATTAGGACTTATTTCAGGTAATGTAGATGCCAGATTCACACTTAATGGCTCTAACTTTACATTTGGTGCTAAAAGAGGCAAAGGCTGCAAATGAAAATCTTTATGAACAGCACAAACTTGCATATTAATTGTGTTAAAGTAATTTCATTGAGTGTTATTACTAAAAATATGTTAGTAAAATATATACAAATAATTTACATGTAAACTATCGCTGCTTGTAGCTTCGGTTTTCACAGGCGTTTGCTTTTTGTTATTAAGAGTAGACGATACATTTGTTTCTAACTTGGAACATCTTGAAGAATTTAAATTAGGAGAATTATTATGACGCTTCTTTAACCCTGGTGCAACTGTACACATTCCAAGAGCTTCTGCAAAACTTGCACCTGCCGAAAGAAGATGTGTGTACTATATAAATAAATCTTAAAATATATATATATATATATATGCTTCTTTTTATGTATTATGTAACATAAAAAATATAAGAACTAACCGGAATTACAATCTATTCCTTCGTCTCCATTGATTTCTTGTTTGATTTTGACTTTTTCTTTTGATTCTTTTGAACCAGATTTACTTTCTTTTGAATCAGATTTGCTTTCTTTCGATTCAGAGCTACTTTTACTTTGATGCTTATGTCTTCTTTCTTCGTTTTCTTTTCTTTTGCTTTTTTCTTTGTCTTTGTCTTTATCTTTATCCTTATCCTTATCCTTATCCTTATCCTTATCCGTATCCTTATCTTTATCTTTATCTTTATCTTTATCTTTATCTTTGTCCTTATCCTTAGCATGATCTTTACTACTAGAACTATGGTGACTTTTTGATTTAGAACTTTTACTAGAACGATGACTGTCCGTTTTTTGTTTTTCTTTACTTTCCTCTGATTTCTTTTTATTTTTATCATCGTATACTTTTTCCTCCTTACTAGAAGAACTTGATTTAACTTTTTCACGAGATTTACTCTTTTCTCTTTTGGATTCAACTTTGTTTACATCTTGCTGTTTTACTGTAACATGTGTTTTCTTATTTAATTCCGTTTGAAAATCGTTGACATTTTGTTTATCTGTATTATAAGAACTAGTTCTATCATCATCACTTTCATTTTCAGAAAGTTTTGGTTTTTTACATTTCTTCTTTCCACTATTAGAATTATCCAATTTTCTTTTTTTGATATATTCGTCTTGTTTGTCTGTAGTACTATCTAATTTATTACTATGAGAAGAAGATTTATCAATAGATTTTTTTACATGCATAGAAGAACTACTGCTGCTTTTTGCATCATTGGAATAAGATCGTTTATCCCTTGACTCGTGTCTAGAATGATTTTTATTATGTTTTTCTTTCTGTGATTCATGTTTCAAATTTTTCGATGAATCCTTATTTACGTTAGATTCATTTTCAGATTTAATTTTTATATCGTGCTTACTAGAATGTTTCGAACTGTGCTCTGATATTTCATTTTTCTCTGATTTTTGTTCGTGTCTGTATTTTGAATTATCATTTGTTAATACATATAACTTTGGTATTATTTGTATTTATACTTTTTAATTGTTTAACATTAATTAATTTCTATAACGTACCTTGATATTTTCGCCGTACTATCTGCTTCTTGTTTTTTCTGTAATATTGGAGATTCCGGCCTATCGTAACTCTCAGGAGCATCAGGAACACAGGCTTCATCGTCTTCCCCTTCACTTGTTTCCTCGTCTGCAACCATAGCTTTCCATTTGGCCACCAAAGCTCTGGAAGCATCCCCAACGCCGCCTTCATATTTTCTTAACCCATTAACAGTACGCCCTACTCCTGTATCTTGAAGATGTTGTACTGTTACTGGTAAATTATACAGTCTTTGTATATAATGCAGCATCTATAATAAGTAATCGTAGAAGAAAAAAAAAATAGAATTAAATTTAAAATTCTGTTCATTAGCTGAAATATGCGAGAACATTATTCAAGACTATTTATATTAATTGCTAAATTGCATGATTTTTGTATACCTCCTTGTTGGTTAGTAAACAACAGCATTCAGATCATTATCTGAATTTATAGACAAATAAATACATATATGATACAGTTGTATGTGTGTGCATGTGTTTATATTTAGAAAAAAAAAGAAAAAACTAATATTAACGGTATAATGTAAATAAAATAGAAATGATTATTGTCTTTAAAACTGTTATGTATACAATATTTTTTTCTTCCTTTTTTTTTCATAAATAAGCAAGAGATCAAGATGTTTAATTTATATCCTTCATAAATATGTATTTAACTAAATACATATATATGAGTTAAATATATTTTCATTTTATTAAAAAGTCATTTAAAAGCACAATTCAATATAAATATACATTTTTCTAAACGTAACATCATTTCATTAAGAGATCATGATATTTCAAATTCATTCTTTTCGAAAACTTTCATAGGTTATCGTATACATTTAAGGTTTTTTTTGTTAAATTATTTCTTTTCATATCGCAATTTTTTATCTTCTTTATTATCGAAAATAATAATAATAATAATTAAAAATACTGACTTTTTCTTCTTTATCAGAATATTTCTTAATATTTCGCTGACAATGCCGTATTTTCTCTACAACAGACGACATCGTTGTAACTTCCAGCTGCTAACTCCCGTTTATGCACGGTTACCAAATGTATGCACTGATTTTTTTTAACTATGTTTTAGGATACAAAAGTTACTATTTTATTTATGTCAAATTCACATGCTACATTTTTACTTGTAAACTAATATTTTTTCAAGTCGAAATCAACGAATTTTATTACATGATAAATTCGAATTCTCACGGAAACTACTATTCGCGATTTAACTAGTTTCATAGAAAAATTTATAGACACGATTTTCAATATTGTTGAGAAAAATAAGTTATCTGCAGTAGCGCCTCTTGAAAACTGTGGTGAAAGAGATGAAACTTCTATCCCTACCACTGATTTTCATTTACATGCTAAAAAGATGAGCATTTAATTAGATTTTTTAATCCATTTCCAATCCAAATTTTCACAAAAATATCATGAAAAATTATTTAAATTAGAAAATTTTCTATGCGTTTCTTTAAGAAATCATTTGATATATAATGTTATCTTTTATTTGTAAGTATCTATCTTTTGAAATATAATTAGAAATGTATAATTTAAATAGAGTAATGATTAATAAATATTTCAGGAACGCCCTGGAATATGTAGCCATTTGCTCGGTAGTACTTGCGTTATATGATTTACAATTAAATTTAGATGGATCACAAGTAATACCGACCCAGATCTCACCACGTGGAGGTTGCTACATATGGAGATCCACGAGCTACAATATTATATTAATCAGCCGCGTTTAATGAACCTTCTTTTAATTCGATCGTAATTTATTATAGGTTCATCAACCGTGATTTTGCACTAGCCTAAAAGTAAATTACATTTGTTTTAATGTTTTTACACAGTAATGAATTCGAATTTAAAATTTTCATGCAATAAAATAACAAATTGAAATTATTTAATATTCGAATTATATTAATAGATATGTAATATTTAAAAAAGATGTACTATTGTTTAAACATTACTTAATTATACTCCACGTATATGATATCTTATTTAAACAATTGACAAAATTAATTATTTAAAGCTTACCTGTAGAAAATAAAAAGTTCCGATGATAACTCGTCGAAATACGAAATAATACTGTTTCGATATATTTCGATTACCGCAAGTATAATCGAATGTTCGATTTTCGTGACGTCACTCCACAAATTTAAATTTTCGATATACTTGTAATAAAATTTCGAATTAAAATGTGTTAAAAGTTATTTAATGTTTAAACAATCGTAAATATTAGTATAGTACGGTACTGTGTTTGATATATCTTGATTGTGAATTAAGAAAGGTAGTGAAAAGTTTTAATATTATTTTCAATTTTTTTAATTAAAGACTCATTCATCGTTCATTGCGCAAAGTATGTTGTATTAATAAAAAGAAAATAAAAATTTGATTAAATACATATAAGGTAATTAAATAATTAAAAAAGAGAAAAAATTTGAAAAAAGTATAAGCGTATAATAATATTGTTTATGTTTCTTTTTAATTTATTAATCAATAATTAAACATTATATTATTATTATTTTTGTTGTTTCATTTGGAATAATATCATGGACCATTAAAAATGTGTATACGTTTCTAAACAACAAACTGGTTAACACATTTTTTTGCTATCCCTTGGCACGCATTATTAGAGTGCAAAGATAAAACTTTTTTAAATATAGTTTGATTCTCTTTAACCAATGATATAATGACGGGTAAACTCCTACAATAGGACAACATTGGAAGTATATATATGTACATTGTATATATTCGCATGAGTCGTACTACTGATTATGGACAAAACTTTGTTGAATACACAAAGAATATCACACACATACATTTATAACAATATATTTGAATTTATTCTAAATGTACAAAGACCACACTATTGTACATCTAATTTCTGTAGTTTTTATATCAATCTGATGGATAAAAAACACATGTCAGTCGCAATGTTTTAGAAATTATTTTGATATAAGTTATAAATGCAACACGATTATAAATATACTTTCACTACCAACATATTCGGGGATATGTTCTTTTTTTTCTTTTTTAACATAGTATACAATCATTTATATCTTCCTTTTACTATTATTCTGCACAATAAGGATATTTTTATAATTATTCTTTTTTGTAAGCATATTATTTTGTTATGGTTCACTAGGGATCAGTCCGGTGTGGTTTTTGCCATTTATAATCTATCTTGAGTCAATAATTTTTTAATTATAAAATGCATTTGAAAATGTTTGAAATAGTTAATAAAGGATCAAAGGAATAAAAATTGAAGACTAATTGTGTAACTCATAATTTCAAATGTTCAAACTCTTTAAATACATTCGTAATTGATCCACTTTACACTAGAAGAATATACTTTAAAGTTTAAGAAATTTTAAGTATACTTATTATATCAAGTATATAAATTATTAAAATATGTTAACTTCTTTATATAATTGCAAAAATCATATTTTCTCTCTTTCTCTCTTTTTATGTTGATTTCAAACTATGAAATATTAAATTTTTATGCACTTTGATTATAAAAAAATTCCAAAAACAGAAATATTAATTTAAAATTTATATAAAACTCTTGTAATATATATATTTATAATGTTACAGGTTGACATAATGTAATTAGTCAAAACGTAACACAAAATTCATTTTTAATATTGATGTCATCAATGCATAGAGAGAAATAAAAACCAATAGCCTGTTATAACATAACAATGTTATATACACGCACAAATTGTCTTTACACAACTATTTATAAATTAATAAAGTATTATAAATGCCTGGAATATTATTACTAAACAAGCATTTTCTCGTTGTTAAATTGCCATTAAACTGCTTATTACCAAAAGACCAGATAAAAACAAAGAATGACTTTGCGTACAAATTCATTAGTATAAATATTTCTATACGTGTCATTCTCTAAATGATAAAAGCTCTCTAAATTATAAAAGATCTGATAACAGTACACATATTCTCTGTTAAATGTTATTACCAAATTGCCAAATAACTCTTTGATATATTTTGCAATATTATTATTATTATTTAAAAATTATTAAATAAATGCCTTCCGTCTATAGCACAGAAGAGAAAAGACAAGGTAGACTTGACAAGTTCAAAAAGAAATAAAATAATTTCATCAAAGATCTTTAAAAAGAGCAGATTTAGCATTTTTAAGTTTATCTAATCGCCTTTGTAAATGAGAATTCGCTGTTTCGAGTTCTTCGACACGTCCTTGAGACTCTCTAACCTATAAAAATATAAAATATAAAAGAATAAGTTATCATCGTTAGGTATACATAAAAAAAAATGTTAAAAAGATGCTCTATTACTTCTCTTTGCAATTTTCTTTTTTCAACTTTGAGTTCATCCTCTGCCTTCTCAGATGCCTCTGCCGCAGATTTATAGCGTATTACTTGACTTTCTAATCTAGCTACAGTGGCTTGTAAAGTAGACATGTCTTGTTCCGCCTTTTGCAGCTTGAATTTGTAGTCAGCTAAAAGTTTATTAGCTTCTCGTTGAATATCCTCAGAATCCGTTAAGCCACCTGTTTCAATAAATAGCTCATATAAAGTAACATTTAATGAAATTGTCAATTTATATTACAGATAAAACATTTCGTAACTATTCCTTTATAAGACCATTTTATGGAGTACTAAAAATTAAGAAAAAAAGATGTATGTACTCCATCACACACGTAATGTACAGATTTAACTTCAACCTAATACTGCACCCGGTGATCTCTCAGATCTTATGCGATTCTTGGTTTCTTCTAATTCCAATCTTAAATGTCGTATTTGATCTTCTAATTCTTTTTTCTCCGAAGCGAACTTTCTCAGTCGAACATCTACAATAAAAAAAAGAGTATTTTCAATTTATATATTTATTTTTTATATCAATTTTGTAATATAAATAATGTTAGATTAGGATTACATACCCAAGGATCCTTTTCCAGCATTTTCTAATAAATCTGCAGATTCTTTACTAACTAAAACTCTTTTCCTATGGCAGGATCCACCTTCAACATCGTCTTCTTCATCAGTTCCTTCATCTTCAACTATTACTAATCCATTTTCCTATATGATAAACAATATCATTATCATCATCATCATTATCATTATTATTATTACTATTACTTAATAACTTCACTTAATTGTTAAGAGTAGAGAAATTTCATATCATAAAAAAAGAAAACATACCTGAATGAGTGTATCCCTTTCTAATAATTGTGTTCTGCATAAATCTAAGTCATCTTTTAATCTTTGACTAAGTCGTTTTGACTGTTCGGCATCTCGATTCTTCTCCCGAAGTTCTCTACGCAACTGTGCTGCCATTTCTTCCAATTCTTCCAATTTATCTTTTAATATATCAACTTGATATGCAAAAGAAGATTTTTCATTATCTAATTGAGCATTAGCTATCATTGCTTTTCGAAACTTCTCTTCAAATTCCTTCAGCTCTAACTGTAATTATGTAACTTTTCAGTATTTTAACGATTCAATGTTAATTCTAATTAACGTAGTCATATCATATTATTTAATAAGCATAGAACACGTACCCTAAGATCTCTACCAAGGCCTACATCTTCTAATGAATCTTCCGATGATTTACAACTGGATTGAAAATTATTCGAATTTGTGAGCAAGCGTGACGTCCTCACAGGATCTGGAGTTACTCTCATGGCTCTATTAGGATCTACAAACAAATGAAATATAATGTAGTAATTACAACGATTAATTAAAGACTATCGTTATATTTTGTATTTATAAAAAATATTTTGATAATAGTTACCTGAACACATGTCATAAACTCTATCAGCATTTTCTTCCGCTTCCTTTTGTTGTCTTTCCAATTCGCGCATTCTAATTTCTCTAGCTTCTGCTCTTGCTTGTCTTCTTGCTGCTAGTCGAGCTTCTGCCTGAAAGTATGTATGGAAAATCCATCCTGTTACCAAAAACATTTTCAAATTCAATTGATTATTTACATTGCTAAGTTAGATCAATTCTTTTACTAATATATGTATATATGCGTATGTGTATGAGCGTGTAACAAAAAGATATACAATTATTTAACAAAATTATTAATATGTTTAAAATGTTTTTTAAGCTCGACATGATTTTAGAATTTTATGTTGCGTACAAATAAATATATAAATATTAATTTATTTAATGCTAATAAAAAAATAGTACGAATTGACTAACAGAAAGATGAAACACACTTGTCTTATAATATATATATTATATTTAATAATAATATTTATTTTAATACTATATGAATTTCTCTTTTTCTGTTTTGTTTAAATAACCAGAATACATAGTAGTTTGTTTTGTTATACTCACTTTTAGCCTTATTCCATTGGCAAAGTTACCTGTTTTCCTGACATTCCTATCTTATCTTTATGATAAGCTCTTATCATTATATGGTTTATAACGTGTAACTTAGCAGTGGTAAAAGTATTACTTTATACATCTTCCTCTTACAGAAATGTGAATATACAATAATATAAGAATATACCAATTTTATATTAATAAATTAATAACAATTAATACACAGGTATGAAATGGAAATTTAGGTAAACGTAAGCAAATCATAAATGTACACATGTATCACTGTTCTACGTACTATAAAGCTATAACCTTCAATAAGGATTTGGTATTTTTATCGAACACAATAATTCTAAGCGAATAAACGAGCAGATTATTATGTCATACCTCTTTAGCTATTTGGTCAAGAGCTTGATCTTCAGCAGAATGCCGTGTGGCGGTTCGTCTTCGTCCAGTTACAGCAGACTCCATTTGTCCTTTTATTTATTTTTTGAAACAGCAGCTAATTGATACACCTAACGTTTTTTAAACCTTAACATAAAAACATTGAATCATATTAACAATTCAAATTCACAATAATAATAATGATAATCGATAATAACTATTCAGATCTCAATTGATTTCTTTTTTTATTTTTTAACGAAGAATCTAAATACAAGAAATTTCTATTTCGTAGTAGAATTAGGGAAAGCAATGTCGAATAAAGATATAAAATGACTTCATTTGTTTAAAAAACAGATGTTTGGATAACGAACATCTCACGAAACGAACACAAGAAGTACCAATGCTGTGTCTAAAATTTGTAAAATTGTACAGTGGTAAATCGGTTAATGAACAGTTCAGGTAGTGAACGTTGTCTTTAAATGGATTATGTTTGTTAACCGATCACCTACCATACAAGGTTATTGTATTATATACAACAATTACATGCACAGCATTAAGATATATATAATATAATTATTGTCGAAAGAAAAGTAGAACTACATTAAGAAAAAAGATATTCCATAATGATAATTTAGTATAAATATTCATGATATATATATATATATATATATAGATAGCCTGAACTGTCCTTGTTATACCTGTATATTGCTTGAATCAAAAGAAGACCACAATTATAGAGTTTCGGACGTGTTAATTCTTCTTAACACTCGCCTTCGACATAAATATTATATATTGTCACTTAACATTAAACGTCCACCTCATTATATAAAATAAAATGTTTAAAATATATATATCGAAATAAAAAAAAAATTAAATAACAAATAATACTCTTTTTGTACGTATTAACACACCCACGTATCACGGACTAATGTGTCCATGTAGAAAAGTACTATGCACCGATATCTGTTTTTTAACTACTTATGCCTTAATTTAGTGTTGCCCTGTCTGTCTCTTCTCTAACGAAGCAAACTTATAAAAATACGTACAAGAGAATGTGCTATCAGCTAGCAGCGGACAGCTGCATCTTGTTTTAAAAGAAACACATGCAAAAATAACCAGACACTATAAATAAAGTCAGTACAAATCGTATGAGAGTGCCACGATGACCATTCGTAGAATAGAATTAATTATTTTCCTATTTGATAATGATCAATGTTTTTGATATAAGAAAAAAAAAGAAAGAAAAAGAAAAAACATAAAAAAAAAAATTTCGTGACTTTTGTTTGTTCGTTTAGCTATCTTTTTCTTTTTTTTTATTATTGTTATTCTTTTCTTTTCTTTTTTTTTTTATTGCTAGATACCGATAGTTTAGCCTGGTCTGTGGTTGAGATTATTTAAATTCGAGGATGCGTGACATGAGTGCATAAAATTCCACTGGATATATCGCATGATATTTTCTCGAAGAGTTTCTCGTTCAGTGATGCAAAGCACACTGCGCCGCGCCTCAAATAACTATGCTTCCGGCGACATCTGTCCGTTTAATGTGGTACTATCTTTAAAGTGAATGCCGGCAGTTTTCAACATATTATCGTACCTTTCGATATAGTAGATGTTTGACACTGTATTATTGATATTAGATTTCTCCATGTATTTCTATTGCACTTTAATCAATTCTATTTTCTACGAATCGTTGTGATTAATTAACACGATGAAATATTTCATTAATAAGATAAGAACGTTTGTCTATTCGTTGTAATAAACGTTTTGTAAGAATCGACACCTTCGATTAACTTCACGCCAACTGCGAAAACTTCCGCAGCGCCCTCGAATAGATCCGACGTGAAAAAAACGTATTAATCGAAAACTTGCTATTCAATTTGCTTTTTCTTCTTTTATTATTTCTTTTTTATTTCTCGTACCAATTCTTTCGTAATCCTATTCATAAATTAATATTTAAATGATGAAATAAAATAGTCTGTAAATGTTATATAAAAATACTGGCAATTTATAAATGTAAATATTATACTTGAAACTATTGATTTCATAACTTTTACATATAAATTCACTTAAATTTAAGGTTTTAATTATTTTGAGATAGGTTTTTGACATAGTCGAGCCAGCAGACTATTCATTTGTAATAGACTATTAATACCATTCACAATTCCTAAATGTGTAATTCCTATTTCCTGAAAAAATAAATATTACAATAAATAATTATTATAATAAATTTATTTTATGTAATATAAATATAGACATAAAAAAAAGAAACTTACCTTTACCATTTCCAATTTTAATTTTTCTTCAATAGGAAGATTCTTACAAACACGAAATATATTTCCAATAATATCTTCTGCAGAGTAACCCAATTTCCATAAATGTTGCATTATCTATTGAAATAAAATATAAAACCAAGAATTGAATAAATGTATAAGTTCTTGTAGAAAGTACATTTTAAATAATATAAAATAAATTTTACCTGAAACGCTTTACAAATATTTCTTTGCGTACACAATTCAAGCATTTCCTTTACCAAAAGAGGATGCGGTTCGTCGCATACTTTAAAAACATTTGTACCATTTACATGACCAAATCCATTGTGTGTAGATTGTAAATTGTTTAATGCTTGCCTCATATCACCTTGAGCAGTAAATACTATGGCTTCTAAGCCATCGTCTGTGTGAGAAACCTATAAATCAATTTTTAATGAGAATAGAATATTTTTTAATAGAAAAGCAAACATAATTTTGTAATAAACAGAGATTACATTTTCTTTTTGACAAACTTCTATAACTTTTGCCAAGACTTGGGCATCGCTTAATTTCCCATATCTCAACATGGCACAACGTGATTGTATCGGTTCAATAATTTTCTCGCTATTATTACAAGCTAATGCAAATCTAGTTGTACTGCTGTATATTTCCATTGTACGACGAAGAGCTTGTTGGGCTCCATCAGTCATACTATCAGCTTCATCTAAAATGACTATTTTGTGTTTTCCTTTCGTTAAATTGACCTAAATTATATGATTACAGATAAAATAAATATTATTATTTCTATATAGATATGTGAGAAACTTTTTTCTTTTTTTACTTACTTTTTTCTGGGCAAACATTTTGATCTTATTTCTAACGACATCAATTCCTCTATCATTAGATGCATTTAATTCTAGCACAGCATCTTTAAAAGATGGACCTAAGAGTAAGTGTGCCAAACATAAAATAGTTGTAGTTTTTCCTACACCAGGTGGTCCTGCGATAATAATATTTGGTGTATTTCCATGTTCTGCAAAGACAGATAAACGAGCAACAGTATCCTCATTACCAACGATATCTGAAAATACTTGTGGCCGATACTTCTCAATCCTGTATTATGACATAACATAATTGAAAAATGTTAATATATTTAATTTTAAGTTAACAGTAAATAAATAAAAATACAGTAACATTGTAATATAATTTAATTATCTAAAGAAAATATAAAAACATACAAAAGTAAGATAACCTAATTTAACAAAACATAAAATAAATGAAAAGATAATCCAAAAATGTCAAACCTACCAAGGTAAATCACAAGATTTGTTGGATTGTTCTTTACTTTTTGAATTATATCCACTCGTAGATGGTAAAACCTCAACTTCCATCATTTCATCGGTATCATTATCTCGCGCCATTTTTTTAATTTCTTCCTAAAACTCTGCTATTGTTACCGTCTAAAGAACCGCGAAAATTAGATAGAAATATTTGAAATGAACTCTATAGTATACTCGCTATGATTGGTTGTCACCATCTACACAGTTCTTCAAATGAAATATATATTTATATATAACTTTATATATTACCAATCAACACAAAGATAAGAATTACAAAAATATATATAAATTTAGATAATTAAAAAAACTTGAATGTTTAATGGTACATTAATTAAATTTTTCTGTAATAAAAAAGTAATCACAATAATTTTTTATTTAAAAAAAACAAAAGCTAATTATATCAAATAACGAAATGACGCATAAGGCGTCTGATTGGCCAAAGCAAAAGTACTCTGTTGCATCGCCAACTAATCAAATGGAACTTTTAAAAGGACAATTGTTAACATCAAATTTGCAGACACACCTGATTACACCATATGGCAACACTGGGTGTGATCACTCATTCAGATTTATAAAACGGTAGTGACAGTTGAATTTTGTTACATTTCTTTGACAGTTTAACAAAATGACATTTTACCAGTGCCTCTTAACAGTGCCTGTGTATTCCCACATCCACGTAATTTAATTAAAATCATTCATTCTTAGAATAATAACGTCAGCAGAACTATTAACAATTTTTTTTAAGCAGTTACCTTGTACCATTTGAAGTGTCATCAATGCACGAAGAACATTCTAAATAGCAACAGTACAGATTGGGTAATATTTTATTAACTTTTTTAATTATTTATTTATTTTAAGATTTTTTTTAAATAAAATTAATCATCATGATTACTCATATAGTTATTCCTTTGTCATTCAATTCAAATAATTTTGTGTGAAAGTCTAAAGTTCAAGTCTGTAAAACAATAGTAATTTGTAATGTCATTTGTATGTGATCTATTTGATTTATTCTTTATCTATATTTTGTTCCAAAAATTGTAATTATTTTTATATTATTTAAAATATATCTTTATATTTTAGAATTAATTTCATTTTTATGTATTATACTATTTTTCATATTTTTATTTATATGTAAATACTTTATAATTTATTTAATTTACTTATATATGGTTCTTTTTTTAGGTATGGCGACGGGTGGTAGTTTTATAAGTAAACCAGCAAGGGGATGGTTACATCCCGATCATTTAGTAAGTAAGGAAGGGATTACTTACATGGTTAAAGTAAGTTATTTATAGTAATAATTTGTTTTCAAACGATTATATAATATATTTATGAATAATGGTATTATTAATTGTTACAGTATATAGGATGTCTCGAAGTGTACACTTCTATGAAGAGTTTAGATTTTGAAACAAGATCATGTGTTGCTAAGTAAGTAATCAAAAATATATTTATATACAGGATATGTTCTTGCAACTAGTGGTATAAGTGAGCAAATCTCTTGTTTTACAGAGAATGTATAAATAGAGTTTGTGAAGCCGTTGGATTAAAATCAGCAGATAAAAAAAGAAGGGTAAAACATTAACTATTCGTCAACAAAATTCATGTGCACATAGAAGATATATAATTTTATTTATAAAATGTAGGTTGACAGAAAGGTTTTAAGAGCAATAGCCGATAAGCCTCGTATGGAACATGCAGGTACTAGCATCAACTTGACAATTAGCAGTAGTAGTCTATCTTTAACTAATTTAGAAACGGGACAAGTTATTGCGAAACATGATATGCCACGTATATCTTTTGCTTCTGGCGGCGATACAGTATGTATTATATAGTTCACACAACAATCATTTCGATATTAATTAATATATCATTTTTATAACTAGAACATTTTTTTAATTATAGGATATATTAGATTTTGTTGCATATGTTGCCAAAGATATGCACGAATGGCGTGCATGTTATGTTTTGGAATGCGATGGTGGATTAGCGCAAGACGTTATATCTACAATCGGTCAAGCATTCGAAATAAGATTCAAAGAATTTCTTACTAAACCAAATTCGTTACAGTAAGTTCGTTATTAAATCCCTTGCACTATGATCTAATGCATGGAGTTGCGTGCCATATTTTGTACTTTGGTTTGTAAAATTTGTTGTATTACAAATATCATATGTTGTTATAGAGTGTGCAAAGGATTTAAAAGAATTTATTATTTAAGAAGAGATTATATTATTATTATATTTTTTATTTTATAGCCCAGTATTAAATGGTATGAGGGAAGCAGATAGGGATTATTATAATGATCTACCAGGAAAGGTGCCACCAGATATTGGTCCACCACCAGTACCGCCTTTACCCAATACAGCATCGACATTACCAAATTTGAAACATCACTCTACACAAAACCAAGTAACACGATGTAATCCACAAAATTCTGTATTACATGATACTTGTCCTTCTATTGATAATAATAGACAACTTCAACAATGGACGGGTAATATTATCATAAAAAAATTACATTTATATGTATTTATAAAACAAAATATACTGATTGTAATTTTGTGTACAACTTTTAATATTATTATTTATTTATTACAGAAACTGGAAATTTAATTGATTTAAATGCAGATGGAACTACCTCAAGTTTTAATGTAGTACATGAACATAATTACATGAATGACAGTGTCATACTTGCAAATAGAGACAATCACCGTGAAACTACATCACTTTTTGATGTTTTTGATATGCGTAAGTTAATATAATGCATATTTAATATTTTTATTTTAATATTACAGAAGTTATTACATATATAATGTTTTTATATTTTTTTTTCCAGAACCATTCAGTTCTGCTATATCAGAAATGAGTAAACTAAGTCCACGTTCACAGAAAAATCAGTTAAAGCAAGAAACGTGGTTTCATGGTAGCGTCAGTCGTGCCGAAGCAGAGTCTATGCTCATGAGAGTCAGTATAATTGAAGAATAAATAAAAATAAATAATAATCTATCATAATGCCACAATTATATAATTAATAAAATATAATTTTATTAATTTTAAACAGGATGGAGATTTTCTAGTACGCGAATCACAAGGTTCTCCAGGTCAATATGTTTTAACTGGTATGAATAATAATACACCGAAGCATTTGTTACTGATAGATCCAGAAGGTGTTGTAAGTATTTTGTTTATAGTTTGAGATAATTAACCCTTTGACTGCGGAGTGTCAGAAACAAAACGTGACCATAGAACTCAGTTTGCTACAAAGAAGAATGTTGCATTGGTTGCCTATAGGCACCAAAATGTTCGTAGAGAGAGAACGATTTTCGCTGGACATCTGTAAATGTTGTTCACAGTCAAAGGGTTAAATGAAAAGAAAAAGAAGAAGTATTTCTTATTTTACTTCTTCTTTTTAATTCTTGGATATAACAAAAAAGTAAAAAATACAATTTACAGGTTCGCACAAAGGACCGTGTTTTTGATAGCGTAAGTCATTTAGTTAATCATCATTGTGTCAATTTGCTACCCATAATATCAGCAGACAGTGTTTTAGTACTTCGCCATCCCATTCCTAGGCAAACGAATTATTGACTTTTTATTTGCTTTTTATATATCATATAACAGGGATAACAATCAATAATCCCAAAATCAGTCAATGCAATGCTTATTATATGAGGAGAATGATTTTCTAAGAATGAAACATCTATCGATTTTTCTTTGAAATGATTTATCTCCGATTTATACTAGATAATTAATAATCACTCTAACCATTGCGCGTAAGCAATTTATGCGTAAAGGTGGCTTGATAAATTCAGTGGCATATAAAATAGTATAATAGGTAATTATAAAGATTATGTAAAAAAACAAGAAGAAAAAAAAGGAAAGATCTGATATATATCATTTGATAAAAATTCATAAAATAATATCAGGTAAATATAATAATTTGTATCATAATCTTATATCTAATACTTCGCATTTTTATATTTCTATATATTGTAGTTTTTAAACGATAATCACAAGAAGAATAATGAATTACCGATGTTGTATGTGAAATTTTACAGCAACTGTATTTGATTTATTTCGATAATTCTTACATAATATTACACATCAAATATTAATGATGAAATAACGAATAAAACTTGTCAGCCCAATTTGGCCTAAAAATTAATATTCTCAGGAAACTATGGTTTTTCTCTTAATGTATAAGAACATTACTTGCACATATTTGTGTCTATTTATGTAAAAGAAGCCTAAAAAAGGCACCATTTTTATGAGATACTTACATTAAAGCATATTTTATTGCATATATATATATATATATATATATATATAAATCCTGATTAATAAGTTTTCTTTTAAATTAATTATATAATATTATATTTAAACACAGCGTTGTTTAAAAAGTATACAACTGCAAAAGTATGAACGAACCTTGGGACCACCATGTAAACTACAATTTATTATTGTAAATTAAATAATTTTTCTCATTGTAATTGATATATTATCGCTTTGTTCAGAATCAATCAAATACAAGGATATATTTGAAAATATATAAAATTCATTCAATCATTTATAAAGAGTTTTGTTCGGCAATATTGTGTGTGTATATGTATAGTAACTTTGACAAAGGATAAACATGAAATCTATAAGAATATAATCTCGCATTCTGCTTCATCTATTATTTAGCAAATTTAGTTCTCTTTCCTCTTTGACTCGAAAATCTATAAGTGATATAAAGCTTACAGCATTAAGTTTTCTCATAGATGAATATAAATGACATTAAAATCTTCGGAAGCTCCTTCACGTACATATAAAAACTTGGAGCTACCATTTTGACCGAAGATTTTTTAATCATTTCTTTCTGTATATGCTAATTGTCGTTATAATACGATTTGTAACAAAGTAATTCATTTTTGTTTTGTTTAAGAACTAAGTTTTCATTCGTCCATTTCTTTTTTTCTTATCACTTATATACCTACTAATCCTTTTCTTTTTATTATTATTATATTTTTATTTTAATTTATTAACCATAAAAATAGTAATAATAATATTATTCATAATAATTCATTTCTTTCGTAATATATCAAGAAGCAATGACAATACCAGTAATTAAAAAGAAATAATATTAAATGTATATATTTTGTGTTCTCGTAACGTTTAATTTTTAAACTGCTTTAATTAATAGAATAATAATAATTTCTTACATCCGGTTCCATTGAATTAGAATAACGCAACTTATATTTGTTTTAACCGTTTGAGTCCTAGGAATTTTTAGAAAAATCGCGTTGACAAATGCCAAACGAAGCATTTTACGATAAAAAGTTTGAACTCAAACGGTTAATATAGATACGTGTGTTTATGTATATATATATAATATATTATACATATAAACACGTAAAAATGATCTCTAAGACGTATCGAATTATACTTAAAATTTATTTATTTACAATAGATGATAACTAATTTAAAAGTATAATTATACGTATATACTAATATATAACTTGGTAAAAATGAGGAAAAAAAAAATATATATATATGTATATCACAGTTAACAAATAC